TCATAATCTTCTGGAACGTTCTCAACAGTTCCAGAGGGTATTCATTGAAAATGAAATCTGCATCCTGGCATCAGGACGCATTGTCGCCAATGTGTTAAATGCAGAACATTCAAGAGAATGTAGAGCATGGGTGTACACAGAAAAAAAAAAATTACATAAGTATAACATGATGATTCTGTGGGAAATCATCATAAACTGTTCCCACTAAAGAGGGAATGGACCATGTAAACTTTTTCTCCTCAGACTCATAAATTCATCAAACCAATTCAACAACATTCTTCTGCTTACCATTCAGAACCTCCTGCCGCTTCTTCTCTATATCAGATAGAGAGGCAATCACAGCCGGATCCACATTCCGAGTCCAGTCAGGTGGATCAGGCTCTGCTTCCAGGTCAGAGTCCTGGAGTGCACTACGTGCTGATGGGAATGATGCAAAACTAGAAGAATCACCCAATGAAGATCCTGAATTTTTCACACCAGAGACAGCCTCCAGGGAGTTGGATGGACTATCCAGGCTCCTGGGAAGAGACAAGGGATCAACCATGTAATCCATACTGACTGGTGGTGAATCATCTGGCACTGAAGGAGTCATGACATGCAAGATAGTTCAAGGGGTGAACCATGATGCACTGCCCTCTTTGCCAAGTATCTATAAATAGCCCATTGCTGTGAAAATTATCTTCATGCCCTGTGAAGAAAAAGATATTTCACCATCAAAAACTATCTTCAGCATAAAGCATCATACCTAAGACCATTGGAAGTGTTTGGCATTCATCTCCTGAGTATTTATATGTGATTAGTGAATGCCAATACCATCAATAATATGTAGTACTTAACATAAATAATGTAGTCAAATTGCAGAATAATGATAACAGGTTGCTGCCACTGAAATGGATGATAAAGCCCTCCCTTGCATGCAATGTGGATTAAATCCTCAACCATTTATTTTTTGCATTTCAGTCTTGGAGAGATCTGCATATTCAATATGGAAGGTGCTTATGACTGATGAAAGCCTTCACATATACAAGCACCTCTTTATATATTCCATGTTGCATTTGGCCTTCTACCCCAGGGCAGAGGCATTAATATGATTCTCTAGTTATATAGCTCAGCTTCCTTAGGAAATATAAAGCCTATCCAATATTTTAGCACACAAGCATGAAGATGGGCTAACTGATGATGGAAATGAAGCAGATAAATAAATAAAAATATTTCATTTTGTGATGCTTGCCATCACTTCTTGTCTAACAAAACTGACTTTATATAAACAGGGTAACTAGAAGCCAAAATTTAAAAAGGAAGATTTCATTTTAAAAAAATCAGGTTCGCCCAGTATGCCCTCACACTTTGCCAATTATCTCAAAGGGGGTTTCATGAACACAAAGCTTCATGACCAAGGAAAAACTCTTTGATTGCTGCCATTTCATGAAAGAATAGGTCAGGTTTCAATGTATATGTCAGCTAGGGCATCACATTTCTTATGCTCCTCAGCCACAAAAGAATGGCATCCTGGATTCTTGCAGATGGTATTTCCAGCCTGATGGCTGCCCCAAGTTCCCAGGTTTCTTAGCTTGGTAGCAAATAACCTTTCCTTCAACAGCAAAAAATCACAAAGGAAGAAGCATGAGATCAAGACTTTTTGCAGGTCAAAGCACACTACATCATCTACCAATACTCCATTCAGGAAACTTTGGTATCGGTCATTCCCAAACATAAATCCTTAACAGGGTGATGCTCCAGCATGCTGAAATCATACATTGTCAGGGAATCTCTCAGTTGTAAGGTGATTATGATGACCATGGATTGAAAGTGAGCAATAATCCAGAGTTCAGTTCAGTATAAACTACTTCAAATATGAAAACAATTAATTAATTATCAAGTAAGATAATATAAACAATTAATGTGGATAACAGAAACAAAAAAGTGGGTGACAGATGAGGGGTATATATATGGCAGGGGCACTGACAACTAGTTACAGTGAGCAACTATCTGACACAAGGAGGATTGTAAATTTCCAGGATTTTCAGACTGTAATTTGGGCCCCTATTTCAAACTAGATTCTTGCTGGAAATCTCATTTGAATAAGAAAATAGCAGTCCAGAGAGAAATAGCCCAGAATAACACTTCATTTAATACAAAATAATGCTCTATATTTTAACCCCTTCACTGGCATGTTTTCAGGTACAAATTGTTTTGAAATGAGACCCGCTCACCTGCACCAATGAAGGGATTAAATTTTTTCAAAATATGTAAACTTACTTGAAAGTGAGAATAGTGAATAAGTTACAGCAGTGAATGAAAATGTTATCTTCCCTGATAGAAAAATACATATAAATAAGAAATGCACAATCACGTGAAATAAAATGATGTAGACATAGGTCGCAAAGTACATGGGTATGGCTAAATAAACTACATTTGGTTAAAAAATAATGCATTCAAATTAGAGAGTAACTCATCAATGATACTGTATTGAAACACCCATTTCAGCACACCTACTCCTAAACAGTTACAGCATATTCTGTTTAAGTGGATACTTTACAAGATTTCTCATGACTTCAATTCAAACGTCCTCAGTGAAAGTGCCTTTGATGACTACAGCTGGAGAAGAGTTCTTTTGAGGCCCTAAGGAAGAAAATAAATAAATTTCCAGAACCTTATTTACCTGTAAGGTTGAATGAGTATCCTTCTCTGAGACCCTAGACTTACGCAATTGCAGCACCAAGTTCTCAGAATTCATTCCCTAGAGTTCCCCCTCCCCTCCCTCCATGCTTCCACGGCAAGATGGAATGCCGTCTGAAGACCTGGAGATTGTCAACTGGGGAAATCCCTTCGACATCAAAAACCGTTTGGCAAGGTTGACTAAATCTTTTTCCCTTCTCCAGGGTTCATATTTTTAGCCTCTCTCTCTCTGTCAATGGGATCCGATCCTTGGCACGGAAGCAGACAAGAACAACTCTTCTTCTGTCATGCACGTGCATCCCTTGAACCCATGCTTCCATCTTCCCTTCTTTCTCCCTAGGCTCCCTTAAAATGCTCCTTCCCTTCTATTTTCCTTGCCACTGGATTTCATGAGTAACCGACTGTTTGGGAAGTCCCGTTCAAGTCTTTTAAATATATTCGACAAAATAATCACGTAAAATGCCCACTACCGATAGAGATTTATTTCTCATTTGAGATCCCATTTCCATTCAAGTCTATGGAAGAAATTAAAGATTCAAGTTCAGCCAACACTGGAGATTTGTTACTCCATAGGCTTTAATCATCTTAACCACTGTGTCGAATGACTGTGGCCATTCCGATTATAATAAAACGCAATTGATCACGCTGATGAAAGGATAAAATCAGCTACGGCCTGCACTTCTTCCACTGATGTCTTTTCATTTTCGTTCCGGAATGGGACGCGCAATTAATCTTTGCACGTGGAATGACAAATGCGCCGGAATGTTCCACCCAGTCGGTGACAAATGATCCATCAAAGGTGAATTTATGGATAGGATGCGTTCCCACATGCCTGGGCAGAGAATAAGACAGCAGCAGTTCTCACACTTACCCGTACCTCGTAGAGAGGCTGGAATTCGACGAACTCTCCGTGTTGTTCTGGTACGATAATGCCTCGGAATCCACATCCACTTCGCTGTAGAGGGGGGATAAGTAAAAGATTCCATGTCAGGTGAGGCATTTCAAATTTACATGACATAAGCAAGGCAACTGCTTCTCAAGTCTGAAGGAGTGGAGGGGGGGGGGAGCGAGCGACAGCAGGATCATTGAGAAGAAAAAACTGACATGAAACTCACGCGTTTGGGTAAGCCTCACTGATGCAGAAAAGAACACGAAAAAATCTGATAAGATTCTTTCACGACAGGGTTCGGCAATAGGCAAAATTTTACTACTTTCTATACATTAGTATTTAAATTTAAACTATAAAAAACCACACAGAATGCCCCCCCCCCCCCCATACGTCCCGCACTAATGGGATTCATCTTTCCTCATGTTATGAATCTCAGTAGTTATTCGACTTGGGTGCCTTCTTCCTCGATAGGTATGTTTGCATGTGTCAGGTGGGTTGTCAAACTGCCAAGAAGAGATGGCAATCAGCAAGAGGGCGCCCAATTGAAACAACTACAGTGAGAAAAAAACTATCAAAGAGGGGGAGAAAAAAAAACAAATTCCCTAAAGTGTGCTACATATGGTCCACCATGTAATCAAATAATTGCCAAGATTTGCTGCAAACAATTCATGAAACGCATGGGCTTCCGAGTTCTCAAAATCTCTCTCATCATAAGCCCAAGAAGTAATTAAAACCAAAGGGAGGGAGTACTAAACCTAAGCCAGTTTGTAGTAGTTGAGCGGGATGTTCACCCTGCAACCACCTTGGAGATCTTCCAAATTGACTGTTTTCACAAACCACCCCATTCTACGACGCATTCCTGACATGATGATGCTCGTTTTTCAAGGACCCACCATTGAAGGAAGGCCATGTACGAGCAATGTCCTTGTTCCCTAAAAAGTTGCGGTATCAATTTTCCTGACGCATCCAGGTTCATTCAAAGATAAATCCTCGGATCAGAATCTGTGCTTTCAGTGCACGGCCTTCACCTTTCCGTTTCCGCCGTCCACTTCCTCTCCAGTGTTGCATTTGCTAGTTTCTTGGGATTTCGGGAATGGGGAAAATATTTTGGCAACACTTTTCGCTGTAGGACCGACATTGCTTCATGGATTTGCATCAGCATATCAGTCAAAAGAGACTGACAAGGAGGCAAAAGTGTTGAGAAAAAAAACTACTCTACATTCCTTTAACTTTCCCCCTGATTTCCAGTGCGCGGGATCCCTGGCCATTAAACGTCTGTCCATTGAGTTCCTGCCGTACCTTTCGGACATGCAGCGGCGGGAATCGGCGAGCGCGATGGAGTCGCGGAGCTGCTGGTTCTCCTTGGTGGCCGGAAAGGAGGCATTCCGCTCCATCTTGTTTAGGTTCAGGCCGATATTGGGCTTGAGAAGGTCCAACATCGGGATAGAGAAGGAGGAGATGGACGAGGCTACGCTGTCACTCCCGGCACCACCGCGGGTCAACTTTTTCTTCCGCCGGGTCCCCGGTCGAGGCGACCCACTCACGCTCATAGCACGAGGAACACCCACCCGTCCCTTATATCACCCGCCCCATCCACTCACTGCTGCTTCCCTACCCTTTTTTTTCCCCCAACTTTTTATCAGAGGGAGTAAGCACTCTTTCTTTCTTTTTAGTGCCTCCAGGAAGGGGAATCTAGATGGGAGAGGAGAGAAAGAAATCCCGTTCGAGCCTGGAAAGTAGGACAGATGGGCAAATATTCCTCAAGAGAAGAATGAAGATCTCTTCCATTCTCTCCTCACCCCTTTGAGCTTTCAGCACGGAAAGGTCTTTATGGGACATATCGACTACGGCTGACTCCTCTCCCACGAACCCCCAATTCGCGGCACGAACGTGACATTAGACTCGAGCCACTGTACATAGAACCTGGCAGGAGGAAATGAGTCCTGGATTCCCCGAATCAGGGATAATTGGCAGGAAGCTGTATTGTTATTACAACAGCGCATTCCATTGAAATGAGATTCGTTCTCCGTGGCGTTCTCCTCCGAGTGAAAAAAGGCAGGCAGACATTGCAAGGAATCCCCTGGAAGCATAACAAAAACTGTCAGTGGGGGTGGAATCCTACTTCCGAGGTGAGTCACCATGACGTCACGTGTAAACAGCGATAAAAGGACCAACCGCAGGACAGGGCAGGCCGTAAAAGGTGCTGATAAAAGGGGAAAGATGGGGTTGAGTGCTGAGGTCTGCCAATATTCAAATGACGTCAAAAGCAAAAGGTGAGCGATAAGGACGGGGGGTTTCACACTCCCCGAAAACGAGGGAAATTCTGTCTGAACAACAGAGAAGGGTGGGAGACGAAGAATAGAGGGAAATTATTCTTGGCAAAACCCCACCCAGCTGGCATCTCCCCAGTTCACAACATTCCCAGAACCCCCCAAATGAATGCGTACCTTGGGGATCATAATCCTTGGACAAGCCGAGAGAGAAAACGTATTTCTACTCAACACCTCAATTTATCCTAGACCAAAAAGAAGGCTCATTTAGGGCTACGAGTGCAAGAGGTCGATAACTAATTATGTCGTCCATCACTCGAAGGCTTCTCCCCCTTCCCCTCTTCCTGATCCTGGGAAGACCCTCGCGCCGAGGAATCCACGTGATACGGGATAGTGTGATCTCTGCGTCGAAGGAGGAAACGTGCTGAGAGGGAACGAGGCATTACAGGGATCCAGATCCACGTGAACCATCAAGCCTTCGTCATCCCAACGAATTTTTTTTTCCTGCCTCGTCCTAATCACTACTGCTGCTTTCAACAAGTGTGTACATAAAAGGGTTTAGGCGCATCAATACATATAAGGTTATCTCCATCGCGAAACAGACTAGATTAGACCTTAGTTACACTCCCAACGTCTCAAGGGAATCACCGTCAGCACCTTCGAAAACATAAGCAAGACTCTTACGTCTTTATGAACACTCTCTCCTTCCTCTGAGACGAGAAAGCATCCTTCCCTTTGAAGGTTTGCTACTAGGATCCAGATTCCTGGTTTTTTAGGTGAGGCCATAACGGCTGCTATTCAACCTAAGCTGCAGGGCATATACAGGCTTCCGCACTTTCAAGATTTATTAGCGCTTTCGAGATTTATTAATTCGTGGCATTCGAGATTTTTCGGGATTTATTTTTCATCCTAAATTTCGAGTTATCTAGATTTTTAAAATATAAATTCTAAACCCCCTGGCAGGTACGGAGTGATCTACTTAAGTAATAGTGCCACAACCAAGACCTTTCTGGGGCAGAATACATATATAAAAACCCTTCTTGAATGCACGACAATCAAGTCTCACTAACGCAGAACCTAAGGTATAAACGGAGCTGTGCATTACTTAACCACGTAGTCACACACTATGACGCTAAACTAATAACTTTTTTCCAAAGCAGTTACATAGCTAAAATACTAAGGCTAGCAGTTTTGATGGTGTTAGTTTACGACCCTCATATTTTCCTATATTACTAATCAAATAGTTCACTATTAAATTTGGCCCAGTTTGCTTTCAAATTTCGAGTCACATTGTCACATCTTCAGCAACACACATTTTCTATACTAATAAATTGTCTTCTACTTAGACTTTAACGCCCGAATACAAAAATCTCACTTAGGGAGATTTGTGTATTCGGGAACTTAGGAATTTAAAGCTAAAGAGTTCTTTTTTTCTCATAGGAGTCCATGTATTCTCAAAGGACCGTTAACTAAAGGAGGTTTCAACATTCGGGCCTATGTTTTGAAATAGCTTATTAACACGTCCAACTGAAAATTCACCAACTCCAAAATGCATTTAGGGCATCTAATCTAGGCTCTACTGAGAAAGCAAGTAAATACAACAACTACTAACATGATCGAGAGTTAATTGTTTTGTCCATAAACTAATTTTATAACTGGGTCGAAATAATTTCCAGGACCATTAGTTCCTGGCTTGGTTAAGCAAGTGAACATGTATCTTCTCCCCCACCCAGGACAACGGCTTTCAACATTCGGCGAGCCACACGCAAAATAAAAACCACTGACGATAACGCTGACCAAATGACGAAGACAGCGGCCCTGGTAACTCCCGCGTCCTGCTGATCTAATCATAGCCCATATCAGGAGTGACTGAAACCCGAGACCGACGCCGACCCTGCAGCACGTACCAGTCAAGGTTCCCATGCTAATTATAGGAAAAGGAACCTGCGCAAAAAACGAAACCTACGCACAAGCCTCTCACAATCAATCACTCACTAGGTGGCATTCACGAGCTGTAATGGGCGATTTTCATCATTTGAATATGAATACATGAAGAGTAGCAGCAGTTTTTCATGCGAATTCTGAATATGAATTGGAATCTTACTCAAATTCATTCGAATAAGAATTGGAGCCGCTCCTCTATTTCGGAAGGGACCCATTAAAATGCATTATTTCATCCTGCATTGCAGGGAACGTCAGGTACTTCAAGTCGAGTGAGCGAATTGTTATAAGGACACAGTCGATAAAACCTCCGTGAACCCGGAAACAGCTGTCCAATTTCCCACGTACTAAATCTTCGGTTTTCGGCAAGATATACTCCGGAAGCTAGGTCTTGGCTATCGATTCCCACTTCTCCATCAAAAAGACTCGGGAGGAAGCTATCTGTCGACCACGGTGAACGCTTTCAACCTCCTGCCGAACTTCACATAAAACTTCAATACCGTCTAGACTGCTTCCGATCGTAACACGCACGATTGAAAGAGAAAGAAAAACCAGGAGCCCAACAGGTATGAGGGAAGGAAACAATTTCGTGCTAGTCACGTCAGATTCCAGTCAAGAGAGCCGTGTTACATCATCGGCGAACCGAGCACGTCCCGAGATAGAAAAGCACTTGCCCTCACGCGATGCTGATATCCACACGAAAAGTGGGCACACGTGGGCACACGTACTCTCGATGCCTGTCTTGACTCCTGGAAAACCCCAGTTCATTAACCAACTGGTGCACCGTTACACTCTCACGCGCACGGCCTTAAATAACGCGTGGAGACACCGCGTGAAGCAAGTCAGTACTGCCCCAGGGGGGATCTTCGCTCGACTTCAATAGGACATAAATAATGAACAGACCTCCACGCGTAAATCTGTAAATCATCGCCATCCCCTTGGAATCAGCCGTAGACGCAGTCCCATAAAAATTGAGGGGCACGTCGGCTCGACCGCAAAGGATCTAAGATTTCCACATGCCTTTCACTCCACTACCTATCCTGATTCGATGCATCACGAAACGTAACCCCTCGAAGGACTCCAAAGACTAACGAGCACACGTGCGAGAAGAGAGACACGACAAGAGAAGCACCCAACCCAGCGCGCCACTGACTCCCAAATACACTCCTGGTGAGAACGGAACGAGCTTGAACCTCTCGATCTCCCACACCCAGGCATCCAGGCTCTGCGCACAGGGGACGAGGCCTCAGCCGTATACCGCTTCCTTATCCACATCCTGGCACTTGGCACGGGGTCGCGTGTGCCGATTTCTCTTCTCGAGAGAGACGGAGGAAGAGAGCGAAAGAGAATCCGACTTGCACCCCATGGCACGTGGTGTCTGTCTGGTATGCCGTCTCAAAAGCAACTCATGTTTAAATCTATGCTCCTTGCTTCCAATCCAGAAAACCCTGGAGAAAAAAAAAAAAAAAAACCTCCGAAGACGCAAAAGCCTTTGTCCATCATCCCTGGCTAGGAAGGGACGAGGGAAAACGCTATCAGACCAGCCTTCATGACCACCTGACGCATGCATCAGTGGCCAAATAAATGCGTTCTGCAATCTGCCATTTCTCTTCTCTCATCCTCCTTCCACTCTTCCTCTCTCCCCTTCCCCCTTCCCAGGCTACTGTTTCATGCCTCCATGAGGTGAAACCGACATCGATCGTTTCCTGGGAAACGATAGTGACGAAGGTAGGACGAAGTAAAGCGACAAAAACTACTCAGGACGATATTCTGCATTTAGTGGAAACAGATGTCTTCTCATTCTGAAGACTTAAAAAAACGGCAACAATTACATCGAACTTTCAGAATCTGGACAATGCTGAAGTGAAAGGGACGGCTGTTTAGCATGAGAAGGGATGACAAATGACAAGCAGTTGGAGCGTAAATTGGCTTGTAAAGTGATGTGATGCTTTCACTCCACCACGCCGCATTCAGAGTCATCTGTAATTCCGGGAAAGAACTCCCACCTTACCTGTTGCCAGATAGGTGTCAGGGGCAACGGTGTATATACTAAACCCAGTGTCCAATACGTTCGCCACTCGCCACATGTGACGAATTTATTTACAACCTCAAACCTACTTTCAAAAGATTGCGCAATCTTTTTTATTAACATTGCATATACTTTGTATCATGTGGCGAATATGGTGACCTGATCGCCACAAGTTTGGTGAGCACCGAAATCCTATTGGACACCTATGTACTACACTACCTTGGGTCGGACGATCTGGACGGATGTCATTATAGATTCCAGAAAACAATGAAAATATTTGCAGCCTTGGGAGCAAAATGTACATCCCAATCAATCATAGTAGATGTATCATAAGCGGGCTTCCCTTTCCAGTTGGCAATGGCCTCTGTCGAGTTTAAATCATGCTCTCATATGTCTAAGCGGGAGGTTTTTTTTTTTTCTCTTGCTTTTAAGAAGCACAGTTTTCAGACTAAAGCGAAATTTCATGCAATGTTACTGATGAGAAAGACCAAAGCAATTATTCTTGAACCTTGTCAGTCGCGGAAGCCCATGTGATCCTCATCGCATACAAACTGGATAGTATGATCCTGCTGCCACTCGCGAGATTGACTTTTGCAAGAGAGATCAAAAACGAGACTCACTTCGACTTGGATGGAGGGAGATTGGGGTCGCTGTGCTTCCTCTTCTCTCGATTATGTTTCTACAAAACAGAAAAACAGAAGACAAACAAATCAGACCCACGGTAGAGCAGGCAATATGGAGCTTCTTCTAGAATATACAAATGTAACTGGGAACCCGAAAGGGAACAAATTAAATCGAAAGTGATCCCCTTTGAGAGAAGCCCGTAATGATCACAGAGTCCCAACCGGGAATAAAAACAGACCTAATAAGTTCTAATGAAACGGGATGCGTCGCAAAAATCAGCCCATGAGAGTGCAAACCTAACAAATAAAAACGAAAAAAAAAAAATTTGAGAGGGCGAGTCTAAAGCAAGGATTCACAACCTCCGGCCCGCGGAAAGACTTTATCCGGCCCGCAACCGGATAAAATACTTCCGCTGGTACTGTCATCCAATAATATATGCCATCCCATGGAAGATTGTCCTGCGTCCCTCGATGTCCGGCCCCGCGATGAGTAGTCACTGTCTGGCCCTTTAGCAAAAAATTGTGCATCCTTGGTCTAAAGCCTCTCTAACTTACTGATTTTTTTTTTTACAGATTATTTATTTATTTTTCGCAGAGGACATGACAATGAAAGTCCTTGGCTGAGAGGACCAAAGAAATTACGTTCCCAATTTCTTTCAAGCCCAGTAAATTTTTTATTATCGACATCTCGTCCCCATATCCCCCATCAGATCAAAATGAGACTGGAACTCACTCGCTGTGCGCGCTCTCGGTAGCTCTCTGAGCGGCTGATGGAGGACGAGCTGCGCCTAGTCGGTGGATGCCGGACACTGAAAGAAAACATAAAATAGTTCTCACTAATAACAGCATCCTTTCTCAAAATATCATACTTATCTTCACACAAGCATCCAAACTCAAATAATATCAAAACGCTAATATTCCTTCTCCATTAATAGAAAGTAGAAATGCCCTGTCATTTTCCTGTTGATTTGACATGGTTTAGTAGGCATTAGGAAAGAAGTTTAAGTTTAAGTCCATCTGGCTTTTGGCAACGTCTGGAGTTTAGACCCCCCATTAACCACGAGGCATGTGCACTCTGAAAAACGCACGAAGTTTAGTACGCTCTGAACGCGTGCATATGACATAATGGGACTTGCCACCTCGAGGGGTAAAGATATCGAAAACGTTTCATGAACTTCCGCTCTCACCAAATTTGACTTAGCAAGAGCTGTGCGCACGAGGCCGCACTTGCCCCAACTACCAAGAGTGAAGATACTCAGGCCGACTCACTCCACAGATTCCGCTCGCCTCTTGGTGGTCGACGTCCTCCTCTTCCTCCCCCACGGGGGTGAGGGGACCGGAACGGGCACGGGGACCGGCAACGAATGGACATGTTGCAAATGCCCACTACCACCTTTCCCACTGCCCACTTCCTCACTCCCTCCCTCCCCGCTCTTCCACAACCCCTTCATTTAATGCATCCCTATACTGCAAGCCTACAACGGGATCTTCCACCTCTTCACCTAACCGAAGATCATAAAATCAGATACAATTACTTCTCCTGCAACCAATGAATCATACAGCCACCTCTGGCTAGTCTCCTCTCTCATTTCATTTCGCCACTTTCACTGACAGCACAATGGAACGGGATTCTTTTCGCGCCTGCCGAGAGGAAAACAAATGACACCATGACACCTTACATCCTGAGATGCACAATGCACTGAAGCAGCTAGGAAAAGTTGGAACACCCTGGCAAATCCGCACTGCTGTAGCTTAGTACAGATTCTTCTGAACAACTTAAAAAAAAGCTGCCTTACAGAGTAAACCCTTCACTCCCAGTCATTAAGGTCAACGAACGCATCAGCGTCAGGCAAACCCACAAACAACAACAAATAACATTTAACGCCAAGGATACATCAGAGCTGAAGGCAAGAAATGGGCAATAAGAAGGGTCTAATAAGACACTGGTCGAGGACACATTTTACACCGCTGATTCGAGGGGGGGGAGGGGAAATAAAAGTCCATTTCTCAGCTGATGAGGCTGACGTGGATCTACGCAGTCGAGGCGAAGAGAGGACAGAGAATGGATGGATGGGTGGAATGGTGCATAGGGTTACATCTCCACCATAAAAAAAGGGAGAAAAGAGGGAGATCCCATCGATCGCATGTACAAACACCACACACACATCCTCACATCGGGGAATGACATGGGTCATCGAATATCACAGCCCATAACACGAAATCCCAAGGACAGCGTCATTCCCTTCCACTTCCCGCTCAAGGGAATGATGAACAAAAGAAGGCAATAAAGTAATCAAAGTAATTCAATGAAAGTCCATAAGCAAGAAAAATCTTCAACAAAAGCTCATAAGTAAAATTTAATCGGAGAACCTCGCCAGAAATTTTAGAAAGAGGGGCAAAATCCACCATTTGGTAATAGTTAATGATGACGATTGGCCTCAATAAGATATTATCTGCAGAAAAAAAAAGCCAAAAACACTTGCGGACACGGCAAAGTTACCTTTATATGAATGGAAACTGAGCGCTGGAGGAATTTTTAGAACCGATTGCAATCGCATTGCAGCACAGGACCACGCTCGACATAAGGGAGGAAGGATAGCGCTTGATATTCATTATCAACGGATGGGAGCAGGGGTGGAGAAGGGAGGGCAAACGCCTAATCAGGATTAATGGAAGAGAATAGGGAAAGAAGGGGAAATGCCCCCCTGGAGGATTATCACTCATACTGTCTCAGCAATTGATGGGAGGCACTTATGTGACCAAGGAGAGCAAGAGGAAATTGACGGATGACCAATCTTACCCAGAAACACTCGTCATCACGTCCACATCCGCGTCGTTTCAAGTTTAGCCCGAATTGCTCGACGATACTCGAACTTCCTAATGACATATATTTAAAGATAAAAGATGCTCCAGCAGACGAATCCGGAGACTAAGAAGGTCCATGAAGATAGCGACTCACCAAAGACCACTCAAACAACAAAATAAAAATAAAAACAGAAGCACAGAGGTAAGATGTGCCAATCAGAAATTCAGAAACCTAGCCTTAATTGCGGGACCTTGACGACGACGGTCAGAGAGAGATGTCACAACAAAACAGACGGAAAGGAGAATTCGGAAAGGGAGACACAGAGGCAAGCTATCTACGAGGCCTCTCTCCCTCTCTTTTTCTTCAATGTTATGGAACACGGAGACGTGGGAGTCTATATCCGTCTCAACCGACCACACGTGTGTGCAAAGGGAGAAAAAGCGGGAGGAATCTTCTTCGAAAGCGAGAATAGAAATCACGTAAACAAATGGACCAACGTGGGTAAGGTTCCATTCCTTCTGTATCACACGCCCCCTTGCCGCCGGATGTGCTCGAATGATAGGACGACGACGCAGTCTCCCTTTTGGCCTATTGCTATGTAAGAGGCTCATACTCGCAGTCCCCCACTATTCTAGACTGCAGTCAGTAATACCATTCATTAGACACGGGGCATCGAGCAACAGAAGGCTGGACGTAATTAATAAGAGTTCCAACTAATGAGGTTTCAATGCGTTGGTTTCCCCAGTTTCCCATCACTCTCTCCCACGGGGGACACAACAAAATTAATCAACCGCCCCCCCATCATTCCCCCCTTTTTATCGATCTCCAATACAATCACGGAGTGGAACGAGAAGGTTCCTCCTCCAAAAGGTGAGGAGAATGCTTCTGTTGCGGGTATGAGTAGATGTCCATGTAAGCACATACGTCTCAGTGTGATGATGGAGAGTCATTAGACGGCGGCAAGAGCAAAACAACATTCCATTCAGGTCACAACTGTTCTTGCAGCCTCCTTGACGAGGAGGATCATGGGGGCAGATGCCTCAAGTCACGTTTTCATAATGAAGAGCATCATATGGCGCACTTACTCCCTGAACGAATGAGAACCCATAATTGCCTGGAGGAAGCAGCTTCCAACGACGACATCTTACTTCCCTTAAAGCATCCTATCCGATAAAGCTAAACAGGTTTACGCGTGCTGCTGCGAGCTCCTGAGTATGTATGCAAATGGTCTCTACCAAATGTACTTTTAAAAAATATCACTGTGACTCCGATATTTTGGATGCTATGTGGAAGAAAGATGATTTTTGGGCCTTTTAAGGAATGAAAGGGGGGCGATTCCTCCCCAAAAGTTTTCCTTTTTGAAGATTGGCATGATGTCATCCAAAGGACTGAAAAACCTCTTGGGGGAAATTGTAGATATTACATGTTACATGGAGGAAATTAACTTCATGATATTTTCAAATCAACCAAGAGACTTCCTCAGGCGCCACGCTTGATATCCGTACTTTCACCGAATGGAATTACTTCAACGTCAGAGTATGACCAAATGCAGAATTGCCGACACTGAAGCAAAGCCAAATTCGAGTGGGTCCAGGTCCCACTGCAAGAGTCCCGAGCGAATAACCACCCGGCGTCACTGGAATTCTGCTACTAATCTGCAATTGCTGATTCTTGTGCCTCTCATGTACAGTATACAAGGAGCCGTTATTTTTATGTTTCATCATCACATCATATTAATGTCAATCTGAAAATCCAGTGAAAATTTGGAACAATAATGAAGGAAAACAAATCTTCCGGGAAGATTTGTCCCACCATTTCTCTTCGTAAGTAGGAAAAAAAAAAAACTTACCTTCCCTACCACATAATATTAAAATTTTCGATGTATAACTTTAATACCGATTTTAAAACGCGGGGAATATATCCCATTTCGGACGAACATCGAGATGTAATCAAGTAGCCATGAACACTGCATTAGTGAATGGATGGACTGACTCACTTGTTGGGCACTTCTCCGGTGAAGGAAGAAGAGGAATGAAGGGTTTCATGAGGCTGCCTCTCTTCCAATTCCGAGACGGTTTCGGGGCGAGTCCGTGACTTAGCAACTGTAGGAACACCCCCTCCTAATCCTCCGCTTCCCTTTCCCTCTCCTGAAAAATAAAAATGATTTTTTTTTTAACCATTGTTTTATTTTAACATTTTTAGCCAACCGATGTAAACAGTTTTTAATCTATAATTTAATATTTTAATTATCCTATTAAGATATATTTTTCCCCAACCAATTTCACCCAGAATACTTTCGCCAAAGATTGTCTCGACGCAATCTGAACAAGCGGGAGAAATGTCGTGTTTGGAAATTTCTCGACAGACACCGGAGATCCCAATCGTACAATGCAACATGATCACAGCGTAAATCACGTTTCAATTCCTGGTATTAAAAGCAACAACAGGGCGGCTCCCTTCTGTGGTAGTATTCAACTGGAAGCTTCTCATCCTCAGCGGCAGAGGGCATAGACCAGTAGGAGTCTCTCCCCCCCCCCCACAATGAATCGATACACACAAGAGACGATGACTCAGTCGTCTATCATGCGTAACAGTACTTGACCTCAACCATGAAGACAGTAGTTGAAGACGAATTATGCCTATCCCCGTAAGGGCTACGAATTCCAGGACAAGCAACAACCTGTAAAAGCCCCGAGGCTCTCGTCACCTCAACCACCAATACCAGCAGAGAACCAGAATATGAATGAGCATCTTGAATAGTAGTATAATGGAAGGAATTTAAGAGTTATTGGCATACCGCATGTCTAGCGAGGACCTTAGCCAAGAGCAACGGGATATGTTTCATTCCCCCATTCACGAGATGATAATCAGAAAGGAAAAGGAAGAGAAGCTAGTACCACACCCGACCCCTTTTCAAGGTCGTCTTCGTTATCATCATCGTCACGACCAGATGGCTCTCTTGGTGTTCTCCCTCTCCCGCGCCTGCCTGCTCCCTAATTACCGTATTTCCATACCATTGTCCCCAGTCCCCACCATTGAGCGATCCATTCGAAGAGCAAGAACCTCATTCTTCTTCAGTCCCAATCTATGCCGGATAGGAAATTCCCTCGAGACGATAGGAATATTTCCACAAGTGTCTCGATCTCACACCAGCCATTGAAATTCATCAAGGCCTGCTCCTGAGAATCAACGTCCTTGCATCACATATACTCCCTCACACTGGATTCCTCGATGGGAATGATAGTCATGGGAGGGGAAGTGCAGGGAAATCTCGGTCTGGATGACCATGACTCACTGTCGTTACTGCCTCTACGGACCGTAACGCGAAGGTCCCTCGAACGGGAGGGACTGGTTTTATACCGGATATCTTCTTTTCTTGGCCATGATATGATGTCGAGTTTCAGAGACAGTCAGCAACTGATCATAACAAATATGCCATAAATAGAGTTCTACATCTAAAGCTGTCTCCCATGTCAAGATCATTATGAAATATATAGCGCAGAGCCAGCACCCGAGGCTCTTTCTCATGTTGTTATGAACACTGAAATGCCACGAGTCCTAACCTCTGGGGGTCATCCGCCAGACAATAACACAAATGCGAAATGTTTCCTCAGCATGTTTCCAATTCTCAAGTCTGTCCAACCATTGTGACACCTCTAAAGCGTGAAATCCCTGCTGTAAATGCCTACGGAAGTATTCAACTACGATGATACAGCGAAAAAAATAGAAACGAGCAAGGGGAGAAACAAACAGGGGAATCTTAACACAGACTGCCTGCCCTCTGGCAAAGAAAGGAGCCATAACATTGAGCAGGACGCAAGATGTCTCTTGTCCTCCAAAAACCAGTCGTCTTTGTTCTCCTGGACCTCTTTCTGGCAAATAAGGTGAACGTGGGAAAGAAGGGGAGTAAAAGAGAGGTGAAAAAATCTTTAGGGGAGCTAAACGTTCCTTTGCACGTAGGTGAGGCAGGCAAGGCTCACCGTCTCAGGCAATATGGGAATTCCACAGGGAGTCAAGGCCGTAATCCCATGCCGCGTCATTCCATTCCAACCGCTGGTGTTGGGACTGTAAGTGAAAAATGTGGCGACAGCCTGATTCCATCTATTCCTCCTACCTCCGGTTCCTCCTTCAAAAATAGCGACCCACGGCGGTCCGGAAGTAGACAAAGAGTGGTTTGGCACTCTCTCAATGCATGGCTACAAACATAAGACACATGGAGCAAGGCCGCGTGCGAGAACCCTTGCCAAATGCCATCCACCCCGTATGGGACTTCGACATTCATTCACGGTTCATTCATGGCATCCACTTCTACTGCACCTCATGTCTCAGGTGTACTGGATTCCATGAATGAAGCTCTCCAAGAAACAGTAACGATCTCGGAACTCTTTATCTGGGACTTCTATAATTTCTCATGGAGCGAGCTAGTATTGACTGCAGGAACATTACTCACGAGTCTGGCGACAGTTGCCACGGTTACTAATCCATTGCCCCTTGTTACGAAGGTACAAATGGCCTCTGCTTCATCTAGACGAACAGCCAACCGTGAAGAAGTCTGTCACGAAATTGATATTTACTTCTTTGCATGAGCCTTCATCATGACCAGACAGACAAACGAAACTAGTCAATGCATTGGTATTATCCAGGTCAGGGGAGCGGTGAACCGAAAAATTACTTCACGTCGAGGCTGGCTTCGCGGTTGGGTGCGAGATTTCTCGCACATTCGCTGGAGAGTGAGCAATGGAAAACCCGGTTTTCCCCATTCATTCTCATGAAAAAAATAATCAAGGGTGAAACTGAAAGCTTGCGAAAAATCAATCTAACAGGAGAGTAGGCTGAGGGGCCGTCACAAACCACTGCTCTCGTTTCGCTCCATAGACCTCTGGGAAACATTTTTTTTCTTGCAGACTTTCGACGTCTCGAAAACTCATTTCGATGAGAACGAACTATGAGAGAGACCAGGATAAGCGAGAGGGGAAGAGACGGATCACACACCATTGAAGAGGAAGAGAGAAGAGAGTTTCTCGATGGAGCCAGAGGGAGGGCGCCGACTGCTGATGAGCGGGTCACTCCCCCCGTGCCCACTGAAGCCCCCCCATAACTCCTCGGTGGAGGCAAAGCACCGGAGCCCGTTCTTCCCCGGCTCGTCCACTACGTCCTCGTTCAATTTAGACGATGACGCGAAGAGGCTGGAGTTGAAGGCCTCGAATTCCCATCCCGCGGATGCAGCTGAGGCACTCCGGCCGAAGCCGAACTTCCGCCGCCGTAGACGTGCACGGAAGTTATTCATGCCCATAGTGGGCCCGGGGAGACCCGGATTCACTGCCGGCTTCACGACGGGTGACCACGTGGCCCGATTTCGTCGCGAGCGTTTCAATCGCTCCACGATACCACGATGTCGCTCGAGCACGGAACTCGCATCCTCGTCCATATGTCACCTCGACGGAAACTATTCGCATACGCCCAGTCGTACTCGGCAAGAATCAAACAATGCCCACGCGTGCCGAAAACAACACAATGCACGATGTCCCCGACAGGGACGGGCGGAGACACCACGGCTGATGCTCAACCAACCGTCACTCATACGTACAAAACCAGCAGGTAGAGAACACCTCCCCTCACCGCGTGCATACGGCCTGTGGCCAGCATGAGAGTGGAAGGCAGGAGAAGAGAGCGTGAGAGAGAGAGAGGGGGGGCGAGAGCCATTGTGCCAATTGGCTGTGACGTCATTCCCCCAGGGGGTTCCGAGACAGGGCTGAGGAAACCATGCAACTAGACCCCCTCATTCTAAGAACCATCTCGTTCTAACGAAGGTATGCCATTAGGAATGTATGCTCAATACTTTAGCTAATGGATCCGTGTTTTCTAGCAATCCTCGGGTTCCGCACAGGTTTTCCCGTACTGGTCCTACTGTCAAGCATACAGATATAGCCTGAAACAGTATTCAATCCCTCATAATACCACCCAATGGTATTCCTATGAGGGCCATGACCCTTCCTTCGCACGCACGGGAGGTTGGATTGATGAAATGTCACAGTCGCCTTAGTAGCACATGCCGTGTCTTAACCCTTCAGGGTTAAGACACGGCATGTGCTACTAAGGCGAGGCCAGACACGTCACACACCAAGACAAGACAAGCCTCAGGGGTAAACCCTCCCAATAGTCTACACAATATTCCCGACGAGTCATCGAAGACGAAAGACAGCCGGCGCTGTCGCACACATGGAATTCAACATGCAAAGAACCTTGGAAGCTTTGAGATGGATCTCGAAACAAAATTACGGAAAGGAAATTCCTTTCTCACTACCTTCTCGGTCTCATAATTCTTTCATGCAAGACCGAGGTAGTGAAGGGTCCCAGGGACCCATCGTTCCCCATGCCCTCATTTCGGAGAGGCCATTCCCTCCGCGAAAGTGGAGACAAGTAAAAGGACAGGGGAGAAGGAAAGAGTTCTTACGACGATGTCCAATCAGCCAAGCATGTTTGCTCTCCTCGTAAATTGCTTCCCAAACTCAGGCAAGGGTCTTCCACGCCCATAAGATACCAGATCGGTCCTGAACCCATTAAATTTGGGTCAACATCAAACTGAATATGAGGAGTCACCTGATAAAGCACCACGCTGATCGTGATGTTCCACTTATATTGCTTTTTTTTCCCACGTCCATTTCCCGCATTGTTTCTACGACGAAGGAGACCCTACAAAAACCTGGAATGCAGTTGAAAAACTCCCATCGATACCAGCACAGTAACAAAGACAAAGCAGTCAAGGGCTCACTCAGCCGGGAAATATAATCGGACAGCCATTAGAGATACCGAACCAAGTCCCCTCCCCAGGGGGAAAATGCCAATATCGCTCAGAGTCGTGCAGGGAACTTGCATTCCCCTCCAGTGACCGGCCGCGGACGGGAAGGGCAAGCCTGGCATGCATGGCACGAACGACGGAACAACATCCCGACGGAAGGAAAGGCAGAACTGCGCTTTCGCAACTCAAGACGACCCATCCCACATTGAGTCAATACCGAGTCCGGGGGCTCATATTCACGACACATCACTAGTCATGACTTCAAGAGCGGTCTTTCGAGTGTTTACCCATACTCAACTCTCTCTTCCGTCCCCAAGGATGCTGATGACTTCGACCCAAGTTTGATCCTCAAGGATGCTGACGAGGCGGTTACTTTGACAGAGCAACGAGAAAGGGACTGTCGATGGCTCGTCGGGCAGCAAAGAGGATTTGATTTGCCCAGCACAGGTGAGTGACCAGAAGACGCAGGGAAAACAATGGACTGGGAACAAAAGCGGAATCGGTGATCATTTTTTTGTCAAGGCGATCCATCCAGCCTCACGCAAGGGGTTCGATGTGGATGGGATCCCTCGTCAGCAGCGTGAGTCATCCCCATCCCAACCGACTGCGGCTTTTTTTTTTCTTTTTCTAACAGAAAAAAAAAGGTCACTATTTCGTTCCCTTTCCCCCCTCCCCCCGAGGGGATTGCGTCTCTTTCACGGTGAAATCAAGAACCCATGATTTCCGGCATGGACTTCATTTCACGCCACGTCATCAGCCCCAATCACCGTCACACTTATTTCACCGCGCCGTTGAGAAAATATTAACTTGTTCTACATTCCTCAGTGTATAGTTCCCATGCAGAGATTCGCTCGTCAGACGGAAAATGCTCTCTAATAAATAATTTAAACATAATTGCAGTCGGAAAGAACCATGAATATTTGAACCTCACTTTACCAGTACGATGGTAAAACGATGACGCCCATGCAGGCAACACCCCGTTTTTAGGAAAGTCAATGAGGGATAGTCCCATCGAAAATGAATGAAAAAAAAAATCAATAAGCTTGGTATACCGAGGATCAAACATGCGCCTCGACAATTGCAAAAACGAGGGGAAATACATTCACATATAGAATTTGTTCAGGCATGGGCCTCCACGCTTCAATTCCTGCCCATTACACGCACATCAGGCCATGTACCGATAATTACGTTCATGTCTCCCATGCGAAGTCGTTCGTCTCCATAACGACGTCTTTACGACCGCAGGAGGCCCTTCTGCTGTGTCGTGCGCAACTAACCGTATAAAGTGAGGGCGTATAAACCCTTCCACCTTTGAATCAAAGCTTTCCATTTCCGGGAAAGAATTACGCCATTATACCAGTAAGCAGACAGTGCTGAGGCATGAGGAAGGTGAAGCACGACAAATGGAGGAAAGTTACTTCAATGAAGACTTTCCGGTTAAGAGAAACTCCCTGAAGGTAAGAAAATTACATTTCCCCTGATTCTCCAGGTTTCCCATACCAAAAGAGAGGTTCTCCCAGACCCCTACCGACATTGTAAAAGCCAGGCCAAAAGATACCACAGGAATATAAGAGAAGGTGAAGATTTTTCAGCATCATCATGCCCTTCACCCCAGGATCCAATGCAAATCCTGGAATATAAGGCTTAGGAGAAATCACAATAACCAGTAGTTCTTAATCATTGTGCACTCTAGAAAAAATCACGGTGAAATTCCTGAAGATTTCATGCAGTTCGTTGACATCTGAATATTTCCAAACCCTTGATGTAGTCAAGAAGCAGTTCAACCTTTGTACAAGTTATTCACGACCAAACATGGCATAACCCATAGTTCGATTGGCACTTCACCGTCATCCGCCACAATCGAGACACGAGATCAAAATCAAAACGGCATAGCATAAGCAAGCCATCCTGTACAGGGAGAGGCAGAGAGATGGAGGGGGGGGGGGCGGTCGCCTCCCCATCAGATTGAAAGATCTTAAAGCCATAGAATATTTAAAATAAAAAAGCGTGGGCTGTAATTTCCGTTCCTTATTCCTTACTACACACATTTGTATGTCAATCCCAAAACCCATGAGGAAAAATCAATAGATGCTGTAATTGAGGCATAAAATGAGGCTGGAAAATGGGATTAAAGTATTTTTCGCAGAGCCACCATTGTTGGAACACCTTGAGTTCCCCTACTAGAACTTACGTGTAGAAGACTGGGTGGTTCAAGTAACAAATGGCGCGATGAATGAATACTAAATGCCCCCTTCCCCCTCGGGTCCTTCAGCTTCAGAAGAAGAGAGGCGTGTGTGTACCAATCATAGCATTTCGAACTCGTTCCAAAGTGCCATACCATACATACCATAGTCTCAAGGGCCCACAAGTAGATTCCGCAGGCTAAACAAACTGTTGTTCATAAAAGTCATCCCAGCTTCGTATCTTTCCCTGTCTTTGTATTTCATTTCTCAACATACCTCGCCTGCGAGGGAGAGAGGGTAAGGAGGGCTCCCACAATGACTTGTTAACAATGTGAGGCACGTGGACTAGGGCGTATGTATTGATAGTACGTTGTCATACGTTATGCCATGTTTGGTTGTGACTAGCAAAGCACATGCAAGCCATAGAGACCGTCATTGTGCCTGGGAATTTTATTTCAGATATTGGTGTGCCGTCATCAACTGTCCCCCTGAACAGCATTGACTGGCAAGAACAAAAAGAAATAAAGCCTAAATAAAAGAATGGCACTTAACTTCTATTGTACCCCTTCACTTGGGGTAGTGTGCGGATTTCAATCAATTTAGATACAATAATTGTGATTATATAGATTTCCGTGGACTTCTTTAAAATAAGTCTACCAAAATTTCCTAACTTTTCGAGGCTTTCTAAGTCAGTAGAAATCACAAATGACACGAAATCGATTCGTTAATTACTTCTCTTACCATTAATTTTTGTCTTTCTCTTTCGTCCTAGATCGTCTCAATTACTGACCACGATCTGAATTGGCCGTACCATCCCCATTGTTGTCAATGCGATGGATTTTTTCAAAATATCACAGACTGCACAACGAAATTCACGAGAAACAAGAGGCGGTTGGCTTTTTTGTGCTGTTTCCCTTTTATAGAACTTCTATAGTTCCACCTCTGTTCTCGTGAACGGATTACGCGATCTCTATCAGCAGCCCGATGTCTAGTGAAGCAATGAAAAGGACGAGAAAGCGGAAGTCTTGATTAAATTACAGGGGACCGAAGCACTGACAGTTCAGGGGTTTCCATTTCATCTTATCACTGAGTTTCCATATCATAATGCCAGATTTGGCTCGAAGGATATTGGTGTTCCAGGAACTCAAAACAGCCTCGAGTCCTTCAGACACCATGGACATTACTTAAAACGACCTTCTGAAAAAAAAACAACGTGGTTAAAGGTCATTGGTTTTGGTAACTTGGTCCTCATCGATTCACGCACCCCTGCTGGTTGAAATATAGTTTCACCATGCTATAATAAAATCCTGCCAGCCTAAAAACTGTCGAAACTTTAACGAGCCGTTAAAGTGGAAGCACCTTATCTGCTCTTTAAAAAAAATTAGGGACTCAAATCAAACTCATGCAGCACGAATATTATTGCGAGCAATTATAATTATAATCATA